AGGAGTAGCCACAACATCCTTACATGTACATGTATTTGTCTTAATAGACAAATCATCACATAAAGATTTAAAGACATCACTTGTAATTAAATATGTAGTTATGGTTAATCTTTGCCCACAGGTAGATAATTATAATTACATATTTAATTAGGGTGGGATAGAAACGGCCTTATGATTCCTAAGTAGCCCATAGGTATTAGAAATCTAAATGCGTTCTAGTTTCACCAATTAGATAACATAAATTTGTGCTATGCTGAAGTCTTTACCCACAGGTAGACTTCAGTGATACAAAATTTATGATTATATGATTTATGTTGGTAAATGTACGCTTAAACGTAATGGTTAAATGCCTCGTAAAGTGTTGTTGTAAGCATGATTAAAAGTTAATTCTTTATTTTGTAGCATTATTGTTATCTTTTGAGTTAGGGACAATTATTGAGCCTAGAAGAAGATAAATGTGACTTCTTCAACTAAATTGAACTTGACATCAAGAAAGTTCTAGTGCTTATTAATACTAGCATGCAAAATGATATAGTATTATGAGACTAAATTGTCTTAATACAATGATCTCAATTAAGAGCTGGTTATGGGTACATAATGAATGGAACAAAAGTCAAGAAATGGGCTGAAGGATGAATTTGAGAAATTCTCATAAAGAGTCATTGCATTGTATGTGGACTATAAAGTGATTCTCCATAAAGTGTATTGGCACAAATAATCTCCATTACTGTTGGTGAAAAAGATTCTTAATTTATTATCCCATTAGTATGAGCTATATATGTTTTCATAAATACATGCAAGATTAAGTATTTATTGAAAATGTATATATTAAATGATTGGCTCAAATTTGAATAAGAATGAGATTTTGAATAAGGGTTATTTAGTCACCAACTTCAAGACCATAAAGTGATATGCATATATAAGAATTATATGTTAACAAGGAAAGGTCTGATTGGAGATAATGATGGATAAATTATTGCCATTGGTGCATTTAAAATCTCATTTTGTTTGTACTAATCATGAGAAGAATTTCTTCAAGTTGTGTGGTACATAATAGTTTCAAAGATTTTCATGAAAGGGTCAAAAGGTTTATGAAGAATGAGATTTAATGATCTCTTAAACCTTATTGATTCCAATCTATATATAGTTTACATTAAGAAATACGTAAACCATCGCACCACTTTAAGAAAGCTTGAAGAGTTATGATTAGTAAGAGATTACATGTACTATTATTTATTTTAAGTTTGTGTTCTAGTAAATGGAATTACATATTTTTCCTATAAGTGGCCTCTCACAATGTCTGATCACTATTTGCCTTATAATTGTGTAATGTACAAGGAAAAATTGGGTGGTTAATCTGACAAATAGATTAATGCAGTGAGATCAATAAGGGAGATAGATGGTGAGTACATCAGTGATGGACAGTAACCTAGTCTATATATTAAGTTTCTTCATATAAGAAATCACTAGGTGATGTTGTTGAGAGAAAAATATAATATTACTAGACATATTGAGCAGTAAGGTTTACAATTTGTTTTTCCTCTTCAGGTACACACTCAAGACAATTATGTATATACTAAATGAGATTCCAACCTAATTTGTATTTAAATTCTTTTGAAAATCTAAAGAGTTGGAAGCTTAACTTATTATATATACTTGTAGAAAAATTGTCTTATGAAAGAAAAAGTGTAGAAGGAAAATATTTCTTGAGACTTATATTGCATATTTTGATGAAAATGCATAAAAGTCTCAAGCATCCAAATGTTTTATCCATCATATTTTAGTGTAGTATTTGGAGGAATGCCAAATTCATTATTATTGCCATGATTAGTGGGAGTGATCAAACTAATCAAGAATGATCACATATAAAGAACAACCTCTAATTACGGTAGAACATTGGTTTGGCATGACACTCATCTTGTTAAGGTGAATGTAAAACCATCATGAAGTTCTTAGATTCACAATTGATCATGTTTGAAATTAAGAGTATCAACATTAGGAATTCCGTCAATTATACAAGGAGTATTTGAAAATATATAAGGGATATCTCAAAATTGATGGGTGATACTCTTTTTCTGCAACTTCAATCTCATTAACAGATTGAGTTAAGATCAATAGTGATTGAAATTTGGTAATTCGCTGTAACTACATGATGTACATAAAAGTATTCAGCTAGAACATAAATATAAATATGGAGTATGACCTTAATTTCATATTTCAAGAAATGAAATAAATTCCAAAAAAGGCATTGCTTCATAATAGATATGTGAGATTTCAAGGCAAACAATAACGTTTAAATATTTGTATAGTTACTAGTATGCAACATTAAGTAATACAAAAGAATATTGTTTGCCAAAGATTCTCTATGGAGAAAAGGAACTTATTATAGTGAGATATTACCTCCTATATTAATGAATAGTTTCCACTATATCTTCATGGTGCCAATGTCTATATTGATTTGGAATATTGTTAGAATCTTTCCAATTTTTGATACAAGGAGAGATACATGAATTAGTAAAAGAGGTCAAATAGTTTATACAAGGAGAATTTAGTCCATGAGCAAGTCTCAAAATAGTGATGACTAATATATCATGGTATACTCACATGCATGATCAAGTTGAGAATATCATGGTTTTGTTTGCATCACTTGATTAGTGGGAGTTGGGTCATCTATAATTTGCATATAGATGATCCATATATTGTTCATATTTATGACTCAAGGTGTTACAAATGAGAGGATGGTCATTGTTCAAGAGTTGTGATATTATTGGTTAAGGTGCTGTATTCTTTTAGAATACATAAATGTATTATTCTCAAGGCATTTGAGATTATAATAAGTAACATATAATCACAAGTACTTGAACATTTATGAATAGATGACATTTGTCATGTGTAACATACCTGATACGAGGATATGATCAGATTGTCCATATGTCTCTAATATGATCATCATGCAAAGGAGATGATGAGCATTTCTTCTAAGTCAATTGCTAGGATATTGCCTTGTTTGAATGTGCACAAAATGGGCAATGTCATTACAATGAATATTAGTAGGAGTTACAAGCAAATTAATACTTGAATGATAATTGAAAAGCTGCAATGGTGAAGTACATTATTACTAAATGTACATTAGGTATCATGCTTCACATATATGAGTCAATTTCCTTGAATGATTGAGATCGTTCAATTTAGTTGGATGAGTTAGCAACAAATTGTTAACATTGTGATGCATATCCATGCTTAATGAACAAGTTGCATCATGAAGGAGTGCAAGATTGCTAAACAATCATTGATTGTTTCCTTTCATCATGAAGTGTCTCTTGTAATCATTCATAGAGGCAAGTTGTAAGACTGTTGATTAATGAATTTCATCATAGGATTTTAAATTATTGAATTAATTTCAAATTCATCAAAGGTGTTTATTATATGACCATGGATTTAATTGGTCATAAAACACATAAAGCGTAAATCCTTTGAGTAAAAAGCATGCTATTAAAAATGTCAAAAGATCAATATCTTATCAGAGATGGATCATATGTAGTGATCTAGATGAGGTGTTATCAAGTGATGAAATTCAAATTTTGGTTTGTTGTCTCAAGTTTGGTACCTGAATTATGTGAGATTAACAAACATTCAAGTTGGAACCAAATAAACATTTAAGGTTTATTCATAAAGTTATAACCCATTAAGTAAGGATGCTATTTGTAATACATGGAAGAAAATACTCGATTAAAGGGACTTATCGCCATGATTCTAATAGTATTGCCTTGATTAACCTTGACATGTCAACTGACATATTATGAACGGGCCAAGTGGGAGAATGTAAGATATTTTAATTATATATTTTATATTATATTATATTATTTTGTTTTAATTAAAATATCCAGAGTATGGCCCGTTAGTCAGTTAGGCCCAGTCCAGGTAGGATGCTAGATTCAGTGCCTTTTAGTCATTCTTGACCTTGATGGTGGGTTAAGTTTTTGACGGTTAACTGAGTGAGCATCTGTGAAAACCTAATACATGATTCTTGAGGTTCCCTGACTGGTGGTGGCTCTTTCTCATTCCATCACTGTGCCCACCTCCCAGTCAGAAGAGATCTTGATATCTTTTCTACTAACAACATCTGAATAATTTCAGTTATTCTAATCTAGATCAAGGCCAGAAGCATTGTGGATTGTTTCTTCAGACTATCTAGCATGGCGAGAGGTATTTATAAGTCTTCCGCTGCTATTCTGATGATTGTAGAATTCTATATGACTATTTGGATAAATATATGTGTTCATATGAATTGTTCTAACAGTTCCATCATCCTCCGGTCTTAGTTCTCAATACTTGCCTTCTTCTTTGCTCAGTGTTTACCGTCTTCTCCACCTGGTGCTTGTTCTTTCCTTTAAATTTGCATTAAGTTTTAATTCTTTTAAATTTATAAAGTATTATATTTTTATTCTCTCAATCTTAACTGTATTAAAAAAAAAATATTGACTTAACAAATTTAAAGGGAACTTTATAGTTAAATGCTAACAAAGTGTGCTTATAACCATTTTATTATTTTAAAACTAAAATAAACCTGTAGATTATTAGGTTTTTTTTTTACTTCAAATAATAAAAATAATTTTAAGTACGTTTTATGGCATTTAATTATAGATTCACTATTTAAATTTGCTCCGTTAGCATTTTCTGTTTATGGGAAATGAAGAGGTTAAACTCAAGGTACTAAAAATATACTATATAAATTTAAGAGATTATATTGGAATATGATAACGTATATTTTTATATTTTTTTAGTTCTAAATATAAAATATATTTTATAGTATAAACTAAATTATAAAATAGGTTTTATATTTAAGAAAGAATATAGTTAATTGAATCCATAAAGAAGGTAAGGTGAATTATTATTTAAAAAAAAAAAAAAAGTTTAACCGGCACCCAATAGTGTAGTTTTGAGTGTGGATCCGCCTAGAAGACGAGCAACAGTTTTGGGCGTGAGCGGGACGAGTCTCACTTTTGATTCCCTGCTCTTTGGATCCTTACCCGACTCTCAGCAAGACTGAAGATTTATGTGAAGCAGGAGGGATTCCAAGCGAAAGACGCATCCCTCAGCCTCTACTTTGATGTATGATCTTTTTTAGTCTTTTAATTCTTTGTTTCTCGGGAGTACGAAAGAGAGAAAACTTGAAGAAACTTTCTGTAATATCACAAGTTAATAGACAATGCTCCAATTTAGTCTACTTCTGTAAAGGGATTCTGCCTTTTGATACATTTAATCAAACGTTTAAAAGAGGGAGTTCCTTCTCTTGGCCTGTATGTCTTTCTTCTCTGAAATAAAAGTCTCATTCATCTGAAAAACCTCCTTAAATCCATAGCGTGCGAGAGTCAGGAATTTGCAAGGTGATGCCGTTAGGTTGTCCTTTATGTGTGAGTAATGGAAAGTTGATCACTTTAGTAATTTATCCAGTGATGATTCTTGACAGCTTGAGCCGATTGCAGTGAAGTTGAATATTTGACTTTGTGATCCCTCAAACTCAAACTGGGACACTCCGTCTGGCTTTTCTGTATGTTCATAGCATTGGAACAGTAAGCTGTAATCAGCTTAAAAGTTTCTGCAAATGTTTGGCGAATTTGAACCAAAACTACCATGTTCAAGTTATTCTATATAGAGCATGACTATAGTCTTAGAGCTCGAAGTTACATTTACATAAATGTATATATACATCTATTGTCAGTGACGTTCTGAACTCTACTTCACCATTGTACAAAGAAGATAAACCTTTTTTTTTTTGGGATAAATCGTAGAAGAATTTGATTCTAATAGTTAAATCTTATTAGTTTCCTTTCAGAAAAGCATATTATTCTAATTTTATAATTTTTATTTTTATGTTTTAATATTTAATTTATTAATTGTTTATAAGAATTTAGCAAATATTTAAAATTATATATATTTTCAAAGAAAAAAACATTAATATTTAGGAAGTGTCCCCTCTTGGTACCTAGTAGATGTTTTCATGGTAGCAACTGGCATGAGACTCAGACATTTTTATACTCTGGTTTGCAACAGGTAAAATGTCCCAATCTCCTCACTGGTATTGATGAACCTGAGATAGCCAGTGTTGCCATCAATAGGTTGCCCCAGCATACAAGACACTCTGATTTTCCTGCTTCTATGAAGATTGAAGATCCTGAGAGTTTTCTAAGTTCAGCTGAAAGTGGCAGAAAAGACACTCCCCAGTCAAATTTATTTACTCTGAAGGTAAAAAGGGAGATCCCTGATGACAATGATGATGATTTAGATCATATTGTGTTGAAAGAACGTCAAAGGATGCTGCTAGCAAGGTACTTAATGTCCATTAATAATATACCCGTCATCTTTAAGTTTCTTTAAGTTAGTGTTCATACCCCTGCAAAAAGTTGTTCAATTTTGGTTTCTAATATTTTGAAGCAAAGCAGCTAAGTTTATTGCTATGATATATCCGCATTTTATCATAACAAATCAAAGCAAACCAGATAATTAACAAACATAAAGAGCCTGCTCTTGTGTTGAAAATGAATTTTCCCCCTACATTGCAGGAAGAATGCAGCAAGGCCAGACCGTCTTCTTGAGGTAGACTATTGTCCTTTGCTTTTGATCAGTTGGATCAGTTCTTTATTAGAAAAGTTAGTTATTACAGGTTCTTCTGATTTAACATCACTTCTTGATGATTAGAATTATGTTATTTGGATGTTGCAAACCATGTGGAACCCAGGTTCAAGTGTCAAGCCTCTTGAGACTTGTCAGTTAAATAAATCATTTTCCAAAGGTCTCTTTTCCTTTTGCTTTTTGGTGTCTTTTCTTTTGAGCATTCGGTTTTGCTTTCTTTGTCAAATTTATTTAGTAGTGTATACTTGCTCTATAATAGTCAAGCCGATATTGAACATCAGAGGGATTTGGTAGCAAACTAGATGTATGGTCTTCGAAGTATGTGGCTTGAAATTGGAGAAATTTGAATTTTATTTAGGCTGTAAAAGGAACAACCAGCAATTTAAGCAATTCAGTTTTAGTGTTTTAAAATATTCATATTCTTTTACATTACATGTCTTCTTTCTCCTTTGAAATTGGAACTGATATATGGGTGCTTAGCTTTCCTTGTGAAGGCTAAGTCTTGTTAATTGCTAAGCATGTATATTTGTCACATGATGTTGTGACGAAAGATGAAACCAAATATATATTTTCATGGCTTGATAAAAATTGCTGCTTAATATGCAACAGGATGTTGGTGGAGAGTTATTGGGAGACTTTTTCGAACACACCAATGGAAGGGTAAAAGAATGGATTCAATATGTTGATCAAAAAATTGTAGCAGCTAGCAGTCTATGTAAGGACATTCTAGGAGGCAATACTTCATCGTTTGAGTCTCTCTCTAGGACTACAGCAGAATCAATAAGTTCAATGAATCTTCAAGAAGGTGACCATATGCCTAAATCTGCAGAGATGGTCATGCAATCCAATCTATATGAGGAAAAAGGTGTTTTACCAGCAATGAATGATGGTCAGGATAGTTCAACCAAAGTCAAGGATGAACCTTGTGATAACACCGAGTCCCACAATCTCAAGGCTGAGGGACTGAGTAACTTTTCATTCAACTTCGTGAATGTAAAAAGTGAACAGGAGCTCCCAAACATATATGACAATGACCTAATAGAACATGTTTGCTTACGTGATCGGCTAAAGTTTGTAATGTCAGGAGAGGGTTTTTGTGCAAATTCTTCGACAAGCTATACATCTTTGAAGGATACTAGGCCTTCCACCCTTGAAAAGAACTCTGTCTTTGAATCTCCAGAATCTTTCAGGCTTCCACGGAAAAGAAAGAAAACAGCAACGTAATATACACACTTCTGTTATATGAATTGTATATGGTTTGTTTTATTTCCGTTAATGTTTATTCCAGCATTATAATATTTCAGGGACTCTATACAAACCGCATTAGAGGAGGATGCTCCTGGGCTCTTGCAGGTATTGTATTCTTGTTCATATGCAGTCAATGTGATAGTTGGTTTTTCGAGTGTGAAGAAAATGCTGTTTTGCAGGTGCTAATTGACAAGGGCGTGTTAGTAGATGAAATTAAGCTTTATGGAGGGGTGGAGAGTGGTGAAGCTTTGGATGAATCATTTTGTGAGGATAGCTTTGCAGAGTTTGAGGAGGTTATATCAAAGGTAAACAGGGTAACTTAGTTTTAAAATTCCATCAGTGCTTTGTCATTCAACGACCCAGGAAAATGAAAATGTTAGTGAATTGTGGTTTATTAACTGATGGCGTTCTCATATTCATATCTCAATGTCAATTATAAATAGATGTCTTTTTGGTGAGAAGCATAACGGAAGTGTTAAGAGATGGTTATTAGCATGATTTTATGAGATATATTTTTGAGACAGATTTTATAGAAATTATTCTCTTGAAAATTAGGATATCTTTGTTAATCGTTTGGTTTTGTTAAGAAAACGGCTTCAATTTCTTTGAACACGGAGTTGCTTTCCTTATATGCCACCATAAAAAAGAAAAGAAAAGAAAAGAAAACAACAACAAAAGAAAAGAACACTAATTTCTACACTAAACAACAGCTGATGGGAATTATATTTTCTGTATGTTAGCAGTGAGAAGGAAAGGAAAGGAAAGGATATCCGAGTTTGTTGTCATATTTTGTTATTTATTGTTTAATGGAAAATGCGACAACTTGTTTTCCCTTTACTTGCTTGAGCCGTGGGAATAAGAAGAAAGGAAGTCTTTATTCCAGATGATTCAAATCTTTAATGGTTTTTGCAGGCCGATGTACCATCTATATTTATTTATCTTTAAATAATCAAGTCTTCTACTCTAGATTTCTGCAGCTATGCCGTAGCCATAATGTATTAGGTTAATATCTACCATTGGAACTACTTTATTGATCATAATCGGCTTCAGCAGAACTTTTAATTAAGTAGTATTTTTTGACCTCTTATTGTTATTGGTGGCACATCTTAATTGATTTGCATTTTTTTTTTGGCACCCCAAAAAAATATCCGGAGACAGCTTTTCACCCAGCGCAATTCTTTCATAAAATTTCCACCTATTCGTGCTAGGAAGGATTCAAGAGCAAGTTACTGTTTACCTTGTCTTATCTCACTTGTGGAGCAGGTATTAGAGCCGTTGCACCCTTGTGTTGTTAAATTGACCATCTTCTTAGAGTATCTATGCTGGCTTTTACTTTTTACCATATATTCATATATATTAATGATACAGACACGGTACTTGCAATTTCGACAATGGCCTGTTGAGTGGGGTTGGTGCCGTGACCTCCAATCATTTATTTTTGTATTTGAGAGACATAACAGGTGCTTCATTCATGTTAGAGATAAATATTTTAAGGTATGTATTTTCTTATTATACTCTTGATGCTAACATTGAGTCTTATTCAATGCAGGATAGTGCTTGAACGCCCTGAATATGGTTTTGCAACCTACTTCTTTGAGCTAGTAGAATCCTTGCCCATTGCCTGGCAAATCAGACGACTGGTGACTGCTATGAGACTGACTTGCTGTGGCAGGATTTCCCTTATCGAGAACAAAGCTTTGAAGGTAACAACATGCTTCATCTTTGATATGCTTTCAGATAACTTGTTAATAGATTTATCTTCTCAACTATGAATATTAAAGTGTTCTAAAAGTTGCCTTCAGGTGCCAAAAAAAAGGTGTTCTAAAAGTTGCCCAAGTGACGTGCCGTCAAACAGGAAGTTTATTATTCTAGAAGATGCTGTGCGTTAAGATATTCTTGGAAATTGGGATACATCAACCTTATTATTGTTTTTTTTTTTTTTTCCAAACAAAGAAGTTTCTTATTGTTTGTTTGCAAGTAAAGGGAAGACTTTGGATGCCATATCAGATTATGGGTGACACTTGTTTGGCTGTCACAATGGCTTTTGCAACTAATTTCTTAGATTTCATGCATGAATAAATGTTATTGCTGCTTTCTACCCTGAACCATTTCTACTGTGCTCAATTATTGTTGTCTGTGTTACAGATTGGAGAAGATTTGACGGAGGGTGAGGCACAGGTGCTAATGGAATATGGTTGGACCCCGAATAGTGGACTGGGAACAATGCTCAACTACTGTGATAGAGTTGTGCATGATAGAAAATATGAGGACAGTTCAGAGTGGCGGTCAAAAATTGGGAAATTGCTTATGGATGGTTATAATGGTGGAACCATAGTGGCACCCTGCATCCCTAAAAGAGCTTCAGAATTCAGTTGTGCTCAAAGCTCATAAAGTTTTCAGAGTATCTGACATTAGATTCCTATATGTAGAAAGTTTTTGTATATTTTTCATGTACTTGTATATGCATGCGGCTTGCTCGGTTAGCTTTTCTAGGTATCTTCTCCTTTCTCTTATTTATGCATGTACACCTTATATTTATCTGCTTTTCCATTTGTAAACTGCAAATTTGATAGAGTTAATGACAGTATCAACCAACCTGGTAGAGCTTTCATTTCGTTAGTTTTCATTTCATGTTGAACTCAAAATTTCACTCTTTCAACAATTTTCAACATATTCTCGTTTCTTATATCCGCTTTACCGATTTATTGATTGCTTTGAGTTCCAAGTTTTCATACCATGGGACTTGGACTCATTGGGTTTGGAATTTCAAAATTGCCATTCTCTATCTTTCCTGATTGATTCCTGTTTTTTAGTTTTCTTTTAATGGTAACAATAGAGCAAAGTTATTGGGTCTAATAGTGCCAACAAAGTCAAATTAAAGGCTTTAATTTAGAGAGGAAAACACACAAATACCTTATCAAAAATTGAGAAAAAAATATATGTACATGCCAAATGATGTTCTCATGACATTTTTAACAACATTAACCCATATACGTCATATGGGCAAAGTTTTACCCCAGTTAATAGTCGTGAAGATACATCAAAACCACCTCTCTTTAAATTCTTGAAAAGACATCTTTATAACTACTACTCCTTCCAGTCTTTTTTATAAAATTCAAATAGTGTTGGCAAAAAAAAAAAGGGAAAACCATATTGAAGATACCTATACTTTCTCTCAATTTTTAATTTAGTACCTATGTGTTTTTTTCCCTTTAATTAAACATTTAATTTTATCTTTTTAGCAACATTAGCTCTTATAACTTTGTTCTATTGATATTTTTAGTCTCTACATAAGGATTAATGATGTTAATAGAGGAAAAATAAAGATTTAGTTAAGAACAAAAAACACATAGGTACCAAATTGAAAATTGAAAAAAAGTATAAATACCTCCAATATGGTTTTCCCAAAAAAAAAATCCAAATAGGCTATTTGTATAGCTTAAAAAATCTGTTAATATCAATTAAAAGTAATAAATATCTAAAAATTTAATTTTTTTTAACATACCTTTATTTAGTAAGCAAGGGAGAAATAGTGCCAAAAAATGGAAGAGAATATCTGGAAAAAAGGTTACGCAATTATTTAGGGGTAACATTAATAAAAATATATTTTCTGTCTACACAACTCCAAACTGTACTAAAAAAATTTAGATATTATAAAAGGTACTGGAGGGAATATATTTGAGCCGCTTCTCTAATAGTTTCTTGAACAAGATGATATTTTATAAAGATCTCAGTCAGCAAGTCCTTGCCACTGGTGGACTAGACATAATGCTAACTACCTCTAATTAGATTTCCAAAACCCCATCAATTAACGGCATCAAATATAAACTTTCGCAGGGATTGCAAAGATGCCTTTGTCAATCATATTCATAAAACACACCGAACTCTGCCTCATACTCAGTTGTGCTGACTAAATTTCGTCACTGGAAATCTTTTCTTACATATTCCACTAAATTAGCAGCTGCATCTTTCCTTTGTGAAAAGCCCTGCTCCTATCCAGCAAACCTTCTTCAACATGCTTGTAGGTTCCTCTCTAATCATTACAAGGAGATGTTTCTGCACAAGTTCTGGACCATTCTCACTAGAAATCCTTTCTTACATATTCCACTAAATTAGTGCGTGCGGCCAAAACATCTAAGGGTATTATAAACCTGTTATTGCCTCAAACTATTTTGGCAGTCATAGTCTCTTTGAGAAGCTAGTTACTGAGGGTTGCCTCCACATAGCTATTTATAGCAGGCTGAGGTCTCATTCATTAATAGAATTAACCAAACAAATCACTTCACCAACTAAGAAGTAATTGCATCTTTTTTGTATAAACCCCTGCTCCTGTCCAGCAACCCCTTCTTTAACATGCTTGCGAGTTCCTCTCTGATCATTACAAGAGGATGTTTCTGCACAAGTTCTGGACCATTGTAGGCCTCTTTAAGAATAACTGTTTGAGTGTTGCCCTTCTTAGAAATATAAAAAATACCAGGATGACGCTCAAATACTTTAGTGAACTTCTGAGGTAATCCCAAGCATTTTCGGAGGTTACTAAAATTCTTGCGCTCAGTTTTTTTATGAACCGTAAGGTGAAGGAGCTCATGAAAAACTCCAACTATCCTCTTCTCAGATACATCTGTACGAGGATCCAAATGAGAGGCATCAAGGTAAGGAGAAGTATAGGGAAGTTTCTGCCACTCATTCAACCACTCCATGCATTTCCTTTTCAGCCCAAAACCCCTGGCAAAACTAATTGGAAATGCAAATGATCCATTTTTAATGTCATCCTCCTTTTGTTGGATAGAAGCATTCTTCTGTAACTCCGAGACAGCAAGCAAATCATCATAATATAACAACTTCAAGCCCATGCGATCATCAGGGAGGCGAACAAAGGAGAACCTTTCAGGGTGGTTTGGAACAAAAGAATGCTCATAATCATATGGTAACCCCAAATCCCATTTTAACTGGTCAATGGTTTGTAGTGGAAGGATCCTGTCTTTCGTGAGCATAAGCAATTTGCAAAGCCTATCCCTGAATTCCAGCTGATTTTGCTGAAAGATGTTAACTTTCTCTTGATGGACGTTCAGTGCTTCAGGACTTAAGCTGAAAGATGGGACACGAGAACCTCCACTATCAAAAATGTAGGATTCAATAAATATATTAGGATAACTCCGGATAAACGAGGAGAGCTTCAGATCTTGGGGAAGACCAAGCTGTCCACGATAGCGATTTAAATGGTAAATGGGAAGACATCCAAAAGAAGAAATAAGCGAAACAAGAGTCTCTGCTGCCTTGAGACCTCTATGACTAGTAACAACGGAATCCAATGCCCTGTCATTTACCCATTTCAACTTTACATTTACCAGACTAAACTTCTGCTGACAAATGAATCCTTGCTGATGCCCATGGATGAAGCCACGGATTCTTGCAACATTAAATAACCAACATTGTATGACATTAACTCTGGGTAACATGGTTAAGGGACAATGACATCTTCCATCAGAATCCACACTTTTCCGGAATGCTACTGCCATATCAAAAATAAAGAACCATCAATGCCAAAGAGAAAAGTTGCACCAAGTCTTTGTAGAAAGAAATATTTTTGCAAGGAAAAAACACAAGGGATGAGAACACAACATCTTTGGTCTCCTACAGAAACAATAGAAATATAAGGGAAAAGGATAATTGAAACACGCAAATCAAAACGTCTTGGAATATAATCATATACCTCCACATGGCTGAAAGAGAAACCTGACTGAAAAAGTGGGGAAACATTTAGTAGAATTACCAAAGTAAATTCAAAAATGCTGTTCTGGACTTAGGCTTCAGCCTCCCAAGAATGAAACCGAACAGAAGAGAGAATGCCGTTGAAGATACCTCTCCCAATCACGTTCCGCACTCTGTTCAATTGCGCGACCCTGTCTTCTGTACAAAGAAACAGTCGCGTCCTCTGGTCCAAATCCCAATCGCATTTCAGGACCACCAGTTGCGCTTCTGCCTCCAGCTATTGCTTCTTCGCTGGTCTTGTGCGCATGTCTTCTGGTTCAAAGGGTGCTGCTCAGATGGAGAAGATGATCCCCAGTGAAGAACACCACTGGCTCTCTCCCAACGCGCCTCGGGCCTTCGATGAAGATGATGGATGATGCAGAAAACGACGTCGCAGGCTGATGGAAAGGGAAAAATGGGAAAACAATTAAACAAATGGTAGTATGTCTAAAAGCTAGGAATTTACATTAAAATCCCTCATTTAATGCACTGATTTGCTGATTTGTTCTTTTAAAAGTTATAAAAATCTCATAAAATGATATTAACAACTCTCCAAATACACTCAAAATATATTTAGAACAAGGAGTTCGTAAAGAAAATTTAAAAAGAAAATCCTATCAAAATATTATTAGTGGTTTGGTTGGCATAATCAGACTGCTTATGAGCTTGTTTGGAACAACTTATAAGTAGTTTTTTAAACGTAATTTACGAAATACGAAGTAAATATGTGAGAGAAGTTTTGTCTCAACTTGTATGAAAGTACTTATAAGCACTTTTGTAATGTTGATCCAAACAAGCTTTATGTGGTTGGGTCGTTTTGAGAAGAAGCTCACTCTTAGAAGTTGTACTTGTAATTCAAGCCTTAAAATACTGGAAACTGGTTTGATTTTTAATTTAGTCTTAAATATAAGATTTTAATTTAATTTATTTTTTATATTTATCTATTTTTTAAAAATAGTACTTATAATAGTTGTACATGTTAAAGATTTCATCGAGTTTTAGTTCTAACAAATACACATGATTAGCAAAAGTATTCTAGGAAAAAAACTTATTTATTACAAATAACTAACTTAACAAACTTCTTTAATTTTCTCAAACTAGTCAACTTGCTCTTATATTAAGAATCAGAGGTAGTATTACTAAATATCTTTTAATGTTAGTAAAATAATTTTTATTATTTTCTGCCTCCTAATAATTAAGCCAATGCTTTTTTCTAAACAAATTAAAAATATATATTAAATGCTTTATAATTTTTTTTCTTGATATAGAATCATTCATAATTAAATGTTATATACTATAAATAATTTTATTCTTTTCTTATCAAAGATTTTAAAATATTAATTTATTACTTATTGTACCTATAATTTGACATATTTGTGGTGTTTTTATACTTTAATATTATATTTCTTCTTCATTTATTATTATAAATGTATATAATATTATTTTTTAATTTAATTATTACATGAACGGTGTTGATATTTTTGGTTCCACATCCAATTGCAGCTTTTAAAACATTAAAATTATGTATTGCTATTGTGCCTCTGCCAATGGATGCCCTATAGTACAATTTGACCCCAAAAAAAAAAAACTATGCTATTATCCTTGAGAAGGAGACTGCGATTGATAGAGCACCATATATGTGAAGAGAGTGACGTGAGCATGTATACACATAGAGGAAAGATATGAAACAATAGGAAAAAAAGTCTGGAGAAAAATTTCTTTGGGACAATTACAATGAAGTGCCAATTAAAAAAAAAAAACTACCAATAAGTCTTAGTGATAGGTTAGAAATTGTCATTTTCTACTTTGATACTTGTCATTACAGGCTATTTAAGTTGTTATTGAGACTTTTTGGTAATTATGTTTGTTTTTTGGGACTTGATTACAATTTTTTCGATTTTCTTTTTTTTTACTTGAATCAGAACAAAGAAGAGACTCCATAACACTGGATAAAGGGTCAAGGAATAAAGCAATTCAGAAATACTAAATCTGTAAGTTCAATCCCAATGAAGCTTGGGGGAGGACAAAAGGAAGATGCACTTACTTGCATGGGATGAGCTTTGTTTGGAGAAAAAGTATTTTTTTATCTTAGTAAAAGCTGAAAGAATTGTGAATAAAAAAAACTTTAGATTTAGAGTATTCAAATTAAACTAAAACGGTTCAAATCAATGTAGGCTTGAGTGTGATAGAATCGGTTATCACAACCCAATTTCAAAGACCACTTGGAGGACCCTACTTAAACCACTTAGACATATAGCCTGACAATTATCCATCCAACTAAGTTTTGGAATGCATCTTGGTTGGCTTTAATTAGGAATCGTGAGTCCCTTTTGGGTGAAGGTGGTAAGAAGCATATATGGGAACGATACTAGGAAGGATTTTCTTCCCACCATAAACCCTAGGAAAGCGGGATCCAATGCTTGGAGAGGAATAAAGACAACTAAAATAATAATGTCAATGGAGGCTTGCAGGAGTTTCAATATCAAAATGGAGAAAAAAGAAGAAGCATGAGATGGAAATAGGAACGAAGTGGCTCCTTCTCCATTAAGTCAGCTTGCCTTGCACTGAGCATGGGAAGACCTTTAGAAACACAAAATTCCTAAACGACGCAAGACCTTTGTTTGGCTATTAAGACACAAACGACTTATTACGAATAAATGCAAATGGAGGAAAGGCCTCCAGCAAAATGGTTGCTGCAACAGGTGAAAGATACCATTGAAGATGAACTTTATGCCATTGGGGAATGTGAGGAAGTTAGGAAATTCTCACCACATTATTACAACGAGTTCTTTACAGGTGACCTTCAAGCGTGGTTAAAGCTCAATGTGAAAAAAGAAATGGGAGTGAGCGAGCATGGTTGGAAGGGCCTATTCATAATTCTTTGCTGGTTGACATGACAAAAACGAAATGACATCACTCACAACAAAGCCAACATAAATATGAGTTGCATTTTGATGACAAGAATACAATCCAATTATGAATTGCATGTTACAGAAAATATTACAACATCGCGATTATAAATTTACCAGATTACTCACTGCAAATTTAACATTTGTGACATTTAAATAAGATTATATTTTTATAAATATAATACAAATATTTAAAGTCTTAGTCTGTTCTTTTTTTGTTTAATACAATTAAACATGTGCACATAAACATGTCAACGCTAGACTTGAACACCTCATCCAAGCGGGTGGCATTGCCATTAGCACAACTAGCCATTTACTTCATTTAATATACACATACATACATACACAGATGTGTGTGTGTGTGTGGTACATGTCTGATCCCGTGTGAGACAATGCAATCAAGCCATACTTCAATTCTATTGGCCAGTTGCGGACGATGACATACTGTACTTGTGTTTGAGGTAAGACTTGATGAAGTGCTCCAACTCGCCGTCCATAACTGAAGAAATATCAGAGGTTTCATATCCCGTCCTAACATCTTTGACCAGTTTGTACGGATGGAATACATAGTTTCGTATTTGTTGTCCCCACTCAGCCTTCACTGCGTCTCCTCGAATCTGCTTAATTTCCGACGCTCGTTGCTCCTCAGCAATCACTAACAGCTTGGCTTTTAAACGGCTTAATGCCTTGATCTTGTTAGCTAGTTGGGATCTCTCTTCTGCACAGTGGTCCCCCAAAAAAGGAAGAAGAAGAAGAATTAGACTCAGCAATTGAGATCGAACCAAATTGAATTGAATTTAAACAATGAAGAGCATATAAGATACTATGGTCCTTGATATAAAAGATATATAACTAATTTGAGGATATTGAAAAAATTAGTTAAGAAAATTATCTATAACAAATGTGTATTGACTTCCATAAACTACTTTCTTTAATCATCTACGTTGAAATTATTCCTTGATAGAAACTCCTCAATATCTATAATCAATAGAGATATTTTAGAAAAAAAAATTATAAATTTGGGAGATAAAGTGGATTGAGGTCCAACCTCATAACTAACTCTTATATTAAAGACTAAGGAGAGTAATTCATTCTTTTTCTAGATAAAAGTCATGCAGCAACCAATTTATTAACAAAACAAGATTAAATAACTTCAACGGGAACACATAAATAACAAAGGATGTAAAAGAACCTGTGCAGCGAACTGTAACACCAGTTGGGATGTGCGTAATCCGAACTGCAGTTTCAACCTTATTTACATTCTGACCTCCTTTTCCACCCGCTCTTGAGAAACTGATTTCCAGGTCCTCCTCAGGAATCTCAACATCCATAGATTCTTCAGGAAGAAGAGGCATGACTTCAACACCAGAAAAGCTTGTCTGTTTACATATTACATTAGGATCTAAAGTGGAACTTTTGATGTTATCCAATGAGATGCACTCATAGGCATTGAATAACAAGGACACGCATGCAATTCTCAAGAACTCGCGACAGATCAAAATGTCAATAAAATAACAGTGATTGAGGGGCAACTATTCTGCTGCTTCAGAAAAAGGGGGAAACGCACTGAACACTTTGGGGGGGAAAGGAAGAAAAACAAACGGGATGCTTTATTTATTTATTTTATGTGGACGGGGTGGATGACACCCATTGAACACTCAGCGGTTAGCAGTAAGAAAATGGAGACACCAAAAGTTCCAGATCTGACAATCTGACTTGAGATATAAGCGGGGCTATTTGTTACCTGACGAAGGCCTTTAGCATTGAAAGGAGATTGTCGAACAATACGATGTGTCCCTTTTTCCCCAGATATATACCCATAAGCATAACGACCTTCAACTTCAAGGGTAGCAGATTTAATCCCCGCTTCTTCTCCGGAGGATTTCTCAACCACTCTGGTCTTGTATTTCTGTTTTTCTCCCCATCTTATGTACATTCTAAGAAGCATGTCAGCCCAATCCTGCACTAGTCATTTTTGTACAATAGCTGAGCTGAACACTCAGAGTAACCACAGCATGTACTAATATTCCAAGCAATAAGTTAACGGAAAATGAAACGAGACAATTAACTTCCACCATGTAGTTTGGAAAATCAAAATCTGTAAATGAAGCCCTCTACTTGACTATTATCAATATCTGGTTCTCAATCTTAAATGCTCTGACAATCTCGCACGTTAATATTGGGGAATTCCTATCTAGGTACAGTTACATATGACAGGATTATTTGCCTAAAATCAATATTGGCGAACAGATTTTCCTAAAAGCCTAGAGAGGTGAGCGAGGTCAAGTCATCAGTGAAGTGGTACGTATATATTCTGACTGCCTACGAACCAAGAGGAATAAATCTTATTCTAGCTTTTTTTAAACCTTTTTATTTTTTTTATTTGGGGTTTTTTTTGGGGGCGGGGGGTGGAGAATTTACCACTACTGGCCTTCAATAGTTCAGTCACTGCTATGGAGGGTATATGATTACCTGTGCATCTGTGCCACCAGCACCAGCAGTAATGGAGATAACTGCTCCTTCTTTGTCATAAGGACCAGAAAGAAGTTGAGTCAACTCAAATTGATCTAGTGCTTTATTTAGTTCTTTGATAATATTGGCAGCTTCCTCAAGAAGTCCTCTATCAATGGAGTTCATCTCCTCAATCAGCTTAACTATTGTTTCTGCATCCTCAACCTACAGTCATTTTGACATATATTCAATTTACAATCTAATGTACTCAGAAGTTAAGAAGAGAGAAGGAGAGAGAAGAATAGGAGAAAGAGAGAGCAGAGGAAATAGAAGGAGAATTCAGATTCCCCCCCCCCCCCGGGTAAATATGGAAAAATATGATAGGTACCATCCTATACCCTTTACTTATATTGACCTAATATAATGGTCATTAGCAAACATAACAAAATATAACTAATATTACTAATTCCGACTTCTTTTTATATTTACATAACAATAATCCCTCCCCAAAAAGACCCTTGTCCTCAAGGGTTTGGAATTTAAACTCAGGAAACTGCTTCTGGAACTGATATAGGAATCCAAGATACTTCTTCGCCCGGTAGCCCTTTCCATCGCACTAGAACTTCTGTGATCATTGTACCTTTACATCTCCCAACTCTCTTACTGAGGAATGCTTCTGGCTCGAAGTTGGCATTGCTGGTCATTCTATAGGTAAATGGCGTTTTCTTGATCAAGTAATCTGGACAAATTTTCCATGAAAAACAGGATGAATTAATTCTTGAGGTGATTTCACTTATAGGCCGTTGGACCAACCTTCTCCTTCACTTGATAAAGCCCAGACCATCAGGATGCTAATTTCTGTGAGCTCCTCGTAGCAGCAGAAATGTGTCTATAGGGTTAAAACTTCAGAAATTCCCTCTTCAAAATATCTACCTGTTCTTTATGAGTTAGCTTTTTATTTCATCCAGTTGGCTGCCCTGTGAAGTGGAAGTTTAAGAATAGCGAACATTTCTTCCCTTGCTGAAGAAATTCGGTCCACAGCCTCTACAATGGCTTCTTTAGGCAGATAAGGAATATCTCGTGGGGGGTTTTTGGCCATATAATAACTCATAAGAAGTCTTCTTGGTTGCCGTATGAAAGTTGCATTGTACCACTATTCAGCTTGCAATAGCCACCTCAAGTATCTCTCTAAGCATCCATAGATGAACCACCAACAGACCCCAACGTAGCTAGCTTCTTCAACGTTTTGACCTCAAACACCTTCTAAAGATTGATTTGTTACAAACAAGCTAGGCTTCGCGTGTCTTGAAGAGAGATGGAATCGCACAGGCCTAGCGAACTCCTCTTGAAGGTTTGTGATATACAATTGGACTAAGTATTCTTCCATCATATGGAGTTTGCAAGTGATAACACCAAACTAATTGTTATATTCACCCAAATATCCTGTTTATATGAAGGTCCAAAACATGCATTGACAGCTTCCAAATACTTGTCCTATGTAATCTGCTCGCCCTTCCTTGAACCAAACGATTGGTGCTTCTGAAATGCTTTCTCATCCAGGACGATGCTAGGTATAGTCATCACCTTTAAATTTTCGAGTGTTTCATCAAGCTAAAGATAGCATTCACTTCAAGGCCTTACTGATATGCTCTTGTCCAGATTAATCCATAGTTCAAGAGCATCCTCCACTAGGTGGGCCCTTGGTCTCACCTGCCTGATGCAATGCTTGAGAAAATATTGAATAAAAGTGCAGGAAGGAGGACAGATTTTGGTGCAGTGGAAGGATCTATATGATAAGGAAGTCTCTTGGATTCCTCTGTTTGATTTTCATAAGACGTATCCCTCTTTTGTTGTAAAGGACCTATGAGGTCATTGATATATAATAATTATAATTCAATAATTTTGGTCAGTTAATATGTTAGTCATAAGTGAGTTATGGCTATATAAGGGAATAACTATGGGTGTAAGGAGCTGAATTGACAGTTCATTAACCAAAGTCTATTATTTTTGCCTTTATTCGTTTATTTCCTTGCACCTGTTCCTCTTCTCTACTTGCTTTCCTATCATACTCCAACATTGGAAAGAAACAGGGATCAATAAAATTGATTCACACCAATTTATGGGAGAATACATTGAAGTAAACGCAGGGATTTAACAGCCTGATTCTGAGGCAGCTAATGGACAAGTGATGAAGATAATGGTGGAGAAATAGAAGGCAGATTGCTAGTTGGCATGCAATATAGATTGTTGGGATTGAGGGGCTGGAGCCATGGTGAATCATTTCTTGTGTGTTACTAGCCTCTCATGGTAGCATATATTTTCCTTTGTTTCACTTATCCCCAACATTGTAATTTGTTTTTTGGCCAAAAAAAAAAACGGTAATTTGTTAGTTCTATTCTTCTGTTTCCCGCCATATTGAGCAAAACATTTACTCATTGTAGGAGTTGGATGGCTCGATCTATTGAGGCTGAAAAAAATAATCTGAGCAGGTTTTATCATTATACTTATGGTAATATGACTAACAGAAATAAATTAAATAACAACTTTTTGAATGGTTTGTAATGTAGAGTTCAGCAAAATAGATTCGTCGTTACTATAAACTGAAATTCTTACTTGTCCACCCATCAATAAATTTGGATCCTTCCTTAATGTGTTAATTGTTTGAGTCAATAAAAAAAGAATGGAAAAGGATAAAATAAAAGGAATTTGAAATTTTAATGAAAAATGAAGATGCCACAACCATAGGAAACAGAAATTAATGTCAAGAAAACCACCATTGGGATCATTTATGGGAATCCCTACTCCAAGGGGTACATTACAATGATTTTGAACTAATCATTGTAATTAAGCCTCAGCACTTGACATCTCGTTACTTAAATATACCCAACTATTCTTAAGAAGCTCTAATCAGACTTGCGCCACTAAGCTTACCTTAAAGTTATTAAAAATCCAACATTTGAGTACTAACTTCCAAATTTCATACAACAAAATTAAACTTTACATATTCTAGACTCGTATCACAAACTTAACCTTGAAGTTACCAACTCTAAACATCTGAGTCTAAACAACTCCTACACTCCAAACCTACAAATGTAAACACAACATAACATAAGAATATGTTTGATGACTCCCTTAGTTGCAACATCATTTGCAATTAAAATCCATCTTTTTTCTATATTATTTGAAATAACTAACCATATTAAGGGTCTTACATGAAACAATTAATTACACAATCATCAATTTCAAATAATCAATCGTTTGGGTTCAAGTTAACCGGGGGGGGGGGGGGAGTAATTTTATATGACCACAGATTGAAAGCCCCACATAAAATAATTAATTATTGAACACGAAATAATCCTGTGTGGACATCAATTTTAAACAATCAATTGTTTGGGCTAAAACTTATTTTATATGACAGAAGAGGAGGAACAAGGACTACAAAAGCTGAGGAGAAGGTTAAAAATGGTAGAAAATTGTTAAAACAATTATATCTAACCTGGGTTTTAAACTCAGCGAGAACTCTTATCTTATCTTTCACATCAGTCAAGGTCAAAAGAACCTCTTGAGCTTTGGCTCGATCATCCCATAAGGAGGTATCAGCTGCTTTCAACTCCAAATCAGCAAGTTCTTGTTCTAATCGCAATATACCAACAGATTCTCTAGTCTCTTCAACACGTCTTGACAAAATTTCTACATCCCTCCTCAAGGAATAAAAATCTGGTAATAATGATTACATATGAGCCATGTTGCAACAACAAACAATCAATTCACAAGTGTTTTAGCAACATTTTCCCTGATTAAATAAATGAATACATTACCCAAAAAAAAAAAGTGCAACATGGTCACTGAGTAAAGGAGAAACAGGATTTGTAAAGTGAACTTTAAATTGAAAGAGTACCACAAAATTATGCGGATGTTCTAAATTCGATAATTTGAAAAGGGAAACAATAATAAGGAAAAGGGGTAAAAACAGATAGAAAAATGAGATGGCATTATTATGTTTGTGTCATCCTTTGAATGTTTCCCAACAAATTCAACAGAAAAAATGGATACAGTTGAAAATGACCAAATAAAGCAAGAAATGAACCTGACAAGAACACGATAGGTGACAATGAAAGTAGGTAGAGTGGAAAAGACTCTATGCATCATCAATAAGAAAATAGAAGGAAATAAATGGAGTACCAACCAGCATCTACTTCTCAATCTCCCACCTCTGCCCCCAGTAACATCTTGAATTTAAATGCTAATACCACTATACTATCATCACATTTCCATCAAAGTAGACTAAATAGATATTCCTAGTTTAATTATTAACTAAGCACATCAATTGAATGAAAGATGATTGACCTTGTAGTGCCCACTCTCTGTCCACCTCAAGGTTCAACTGGTTATCTGGTGACGCAAATAATACTTGTAGAAGTCCAGAAAATAAACCAGTGAGAAATAACAATTAGGGGGGTTAGATAACACTGGGAGCAAACCAACGTGAAAGAAATTCAATGAAACTCAGTCAGTTGAAAAGAATAAAATAACTAATGAAGGCAGATCAACAAGGGAAGATACCCCCATTCTTTCAAAATGCTCTAGGGGGGAAAAACAAACGGACAATGTACATAATTTCCTATTCACTTACCAGAATGGTGGGAGAGATTGGTGCAGACTGAGAAAGAGAGTGGCGAAAAATGTTTTGAAATTAAAATATTAGGCTGGCAGCGCATCTGAAGGGGTTGTCTACAGCTCAAACTGTTTGTGATAAACACTGTAGCAGAGCTGCAGAGAGGGTACGAGAGAATCTCCATGACAAAGGCCAATTCTTATGATGCACTTGGCTTGCTGCATAATATTATTTCTTATATGCTTAGAATGAAATTTTGGCGGCAAAATCATGAATATATATACATAACAAAAATTAACAGAAATTAGAATATCACATATAAATAACCTGAAGTGCCTGTAATAATGAACAAAAGATAAGAACAACCACAAAAAAGAATCTTCATTAACCTTCCTAACATGGCGATAAAAAACAAGAGTTTCACTCCCCATAAAGTGAAGTTTATTGATCTTTTATCACAACAATACAGAACAGAATCTGCGTTAACCTTCCTAACATGGAATTAATCTTATTTAAAGCAGATAAAAGCCAGGAATGAAGAATTCAACAAAGTCAACATGCCCCATTAAGTTTAACTCTTGCATTGGAATAACAACAACAAACTCATAGATTTCTTCCCTAGTACTGTTAATAAAATCTAAAAACAAATTGAGTACAATAAACCAGTCTTATTTGTCCAGATCGCAGAAAATGAGTGCCTTGACCAGTCCACAAAAATAATAAAGTCACAGAGACAGTTTCACCAAAATAACTAAATGAAGTCACAAAGAGTTGCATTATCAATCTAGATTCTAAAATCATCGATACATCAGCCATAATAAATAGGCAATAAATCTTATTCAATTTATGCATGTGCCTTTATTCACGGGAAACATGCTGCAATACTAAAGGCAATGGCATCTGGAAGTAGCACTGAAGCACTCAAATAAATTAGTATGGGATTTATACTCAAGCGTAACTGTTATTCCTTCTTTGACTATTAACTGTATGCACAGTTGATGATAATAAATCATACAAACTACAGTAGCACTCTGTTGGTTCGTGTTGTATAGAATTCAACTTTCACTCCTAAAAGAACCTACCACAATTTTATATATCAAACAACATCATAATCATAATTGATTAAACCATGAAATTCATAAACCCAAAAGAAATTTCCACAAGCACTTGGAATACAACATTTGGGCATTCAAATTTCAAAAGCCAAGAAATGTTCCCCATATTCTGAAAACATTCGGCACGCATACATATATGACAGCATTCTGAAAAACAGTGGAAGGATAAGAGATTTTAACATACCCCCACGCAACCGACTCACGAGAGAAGAAGGAAGAGGCACGACTTTCGTACGCACGGCAGCAAAGATAAGGAGAAGAAGAGAAAAGGTGAAGCTCAAGTGTGTGCACAATCGCCAGCGATGCAAATACTCTCGCGGTTCAAGTAGGCATACGACGAGGACCCACGAGCAGCTCGAAGAAGAGAAGCGGAAGAATATGAGCAAGAAACGAAACCGACGCGCGCAGGGAAAAGGCGCTTAGCCGTTAGTCCCCATTGGATTCGTTCGGCTTTACTGCTCACGTCCGTTGCCACTCCATTGCTTTAAAACGATGCGTTTTAGCCTCTTCAGAGTTTAGACAGAGAGTCAGAAACTGGCAAGAGACCAAGAACTTTTCAATCATAATTTATAAAATATGATATTAATATATAAGAAAAATTTTATCTCAATTTATGTAAAATATACTTACAAGTTATTAGTATAGCCGATAATATGAATTGAGCTTACAGGCTCAACTTGCCAAAATAAGAGACCATTTGGATGCAGTCTTTTTTGGCTTGCACCTGCCAACTTATAACCCTCCAGGGGCTAATACAGCACCAACTTGTGGGTTATCTCTTCTTTTTTTTTTTTAATTTCAATAAGAAATTTTTTTATTATTTTCACTCAATTTATATATAGGTTTGTATTTTGTCAATTCTAACACTACAAGAAAATGTTGAATTAGCAGCGGAACATTTCTAGCGGTTCAACAAAACCGCTAGAAATTCGAAACATTTCTAGCGGTTCAACAAAACCGCTAGAAATTCGAAACATTTCTAGCAGTTCTTATAAAAACCGCTGCAAATTACAGACGGTTTGACCATTGCCCGCACATTTCTAGCGGTTACCACCTAACCGCTAGAAATTTAGAGCTAGAAAATTCCCCGGGTTTTGGCGGGAACTTGGCGCCAAATTGTTGGGAATTTCTAGCGGTTCGGTCCAAAACCGCTAGAAATTTCTAGCGGTTTTGTGGTAAACCGCTAGAAATTCTCGGTCTATATAACCCCCCCACTCTTACTTCTTCAATCGTTCTGGAAGCGAAGCTCTGCTGAATTTTCTCCACAAATATATTCGAGTTCTGATTCAGCTGCAGATCCTTATTTTCAGGTAAAAATAGTAATTTATTGATAAATAATTTTTATTTTATGTTTTATTTTATTTAATTTATTATGTTGTAGCTTATAAATAATTTTTCTTTTTATTTTATTTATAAATAATTACTATTTGTTGTTATTAGGATGACTCGTCGGCACGGGAAAGACCCAGTTGATCCTGAGAGAGCTGGACCCAGTGAGGTTCATCATGATGCTGGTGAGCTATTCCCCAGCATTCATGACTACGATCTCAGCGAGGAGGATATCCTCAGTTTTATGGAGCAGGATGATGTTGAGCGGATTGAGGAGGCTCATTTTACTGGGGATGAGCAACCCCATGCTGATGCTGATGCTGCTGACGAGGAGGAGGAGGAGGAGCAGGATCAGGGGAATGAGTATCCCCAGGCTGCGCAGCGTCCTGCTCCGAGACGTCAGGCTGGTTATGAGGTGGAATTTGTCGGTAAGTATTTATTTAACTTTTTAAAATTTTGATCAGTATTTAATTTATATAGAAATTGTATTAATTTATTGATATATAATTTATTTCTTAATTAAATTTTGTAGACACTGAGGGGAACAGGTCCTATCGGAGGCTGACAGCCAGAGAGCTGTCTATGATGACGAGCGGACGAGTGGTTGTGCCGCTCAATGTGTTGGGCCAACCGACGAAGAAAGGTGGCCAATTGTACAACAAGTACGTGCGCCTCCTTGGTCAGCAGTGGACGCTATTCCCCATCTACGTGCAGGACTAGAAGAAGATCACCTCAGACAAGAAGCAGCAAGGCTGGGAAATGATGAAGGTAATATAAAATTGTTATTTATAATTTTTTTAATTTAAATAAATGATTATATATTTTGTTTTCAAATAATTTAATTGTTTGATTATAATTTTTTATTTATTTAATTTGTTTGTTATTTATAATATTTTTAAAAGTAGTTAAATGAATATATATTTTTTATTTAAATTATTTAAAAGTAGTTAAATGAAAATAATTTGTTATTGATTTCATTAATTTATTACTTATAATAATTTTAAATTTAGTTGAGTAAAAATTTTTTCATTTAAATTACTTAATTGTTTAATTATTATTTGTTTTTGATTAATTTATATTTTATTTATAATATTCTTAAATTAGTTAAAAACTAATTATTTGTTTTTGATTATTGAAATTGCTTAATTATTTGTTTATAATTTGTTATTTAGTTAATTTATTATTTTAATCATAAAGTAAATTTATTCTGGGGGAGGAGTTGAGGGCTGACACGATCAAGAGGCTTGGGATGGCATGGAAGAACAGGAGGGCCGACCTGTGGAGGGAGAAGAAAAGTGACGGGACGAGGCCCCTCCAGGAGATACTGGCAGATGTACCTGGTGGAGTCCCAGACCAAGACTAGTCCAGTTACGTCTATTTTAGGATGACGGCTGACCAGATGGTATGATAATATTGTATTAATTATAATTTCTTTATTTTTTATCCAACTTGACTCATTTAATTTAATTTTTTTACATTTTGCTTCAGGCTCTTTCTAGGAGAAATGCTGGGAGCGTCAGGCATCAGACGATACGTCATAGGGCTGGATCCAGGAGCTTTGCGATCACTTATGACGAGATTGTGAGTACTTGAAATAAATTTATTAAATATGTATATGTATTTAATTTGTAACTAATTATTTCTTTGATTTCATTTACAGAGGGAAAAGATACGGCAGGAGCGGGGATACACGGCCACTTATGGCGAGATGTGGCCGATGGTGTATAGACCTCGAGACGGGCGTGCGTCGGATGAGGTTGAGGAGATAGCGGTAAGTAATAAATTAAATATTAATATAATATCACAGTGTAGATATCATTATATTATAATTAACTTCTTTATATTAATTTTGGTAGGCACGGATGACTCAGGTCGATTCCGAGTTGCGTGAGTCTCAGGGGTCTGCCTTGGATCCCACCGCCTCACTTTTAGCGGGTCGTGGCCGGCCGCAGCACCCTGGTCGAGTTAGCGGGCTTGGACTTGGACCTACACCGACTAGGTTGCCCCGCTCAAGTGGCGCTGGCCCTTCATATACTGCTGGGAGCTCTCATGCGAGTGCGAAGCGGCCGGGTTCCTCATCCTCAGAGGAATTGCGAGAGGAGCTCAGACAAGAGTTCGAGGCCAGGATGGAGGCCAGGATCGTGGAGCGTGATCGTCAGCTGCAGGAGCGTGATCGTCAGCTCCAACGCAGCTTGACCAGCTCTTGGCAGCTGCTACGGCTCTGCGTCATGTGGTGGTCAGTATAGCTCCAAACATCTCGGTTCCTGACATCCCCGACCTACACCTGCCACCAGTCCCGCCCCTACCCCCCCATCCGCCAGTCCAGTCCCAGCAGGTTGAGCGGCCTGCCCACCCCCAGCCGGAGGATCCAGCAGAGGATGATCACGATGATGCTGCTTCTGCCCCCCACCCATGATTTATCTTGCTTTCATTGTATGGGATTTTATTAGAATCTTGATTTTACGGTTTTATATACTATTTAGATATTTATTTAAATTTTATATTTATTTGTTTACTTTATTTATTTATTTCTATAATTTTATTTATGTCAAGTATTAATTAATATTGAAATATTTATTTATTTATTACAACATCAACATTACAATTTATTAAACACGTTAAACATGTTAATTAATCAAAATAATTCTATAATCATTTATTAATTTAATAAATATTTATTTTGTAATGTTATTAATTTATTGCGCAGTATTTATATTTAATATTTAAAAATAATATTATTTGTAGCGGTTCTAAAACCGTTAGAAAATTCAACCAAATTTCATTACATCGTGAAACTTTCTAGCGGTTATGATAAACCGCTAGAAAATTCACTTGGTAATTTTCTAGCGGTTTTGTAACCGCTAGAAAATTCAAAACGTTGGAGACAAATTCCCGTTAAAACCGCTAGAAATTTCTATCGGTTTGTAACCGATATTTTGAATTTCTAGCGGTTAATAACCGCTGGAAATGAAACTTTCCGTTAAAACCGCTACAAATTTGTAGCGGTTTTGTAACCGCTACAAAAAAATGACCGTTCCACCAGCCTCCTTTATAAGCTGAAGCACTCCAACTGAATTCCATTTTAACTTCTCTTTGAGCTTCCTGTGTCATATTTTCACGAAATTTGAGCATTATTAGTGATGGATAGGTCGTGGATCAACTTGCACCGGTCGACTCCGCAATACTTGGCTGGTCTAAACTATTTCTTGGATTTTGCTTTCGCCAATGCTGCCGTAAATGGTAAGATTCAGTGTCCCTGTCCTAAATGTAATTTCAAAAAGTGGCATCCCAAAGATATTGTTAGGGAACATTTAATCTTTAAGCCTTTTCCGCGAGAGTACGTATTTTGGCAACTACATGGGGAACGGCTAGATATGGGTGCTGAGTCAGTTCCAGTAGTTTCACGGATGGGAGTTCGAGTGGATGAAGCCGATGCCGTGAATGATGCTGTGCGTGATGCTTTGGTGTTCACGAAAGCTCGAATCCCAACGAAGATGAAGTAGAGGGACCTCAACCGGAGTTTCTAAGAAACGAAACTGCTCGGGAATTTTTTGACCTCATGACCGAAGCTGACAAGCCTCTTTATTCTGGGTGCACAAAGTATTCGAAGTTGTCATTCTTGGTGAGGCTGTATCACATCAAATGCTTGTGCGGTATGACTGACAAGGCGATGTCTATGTTGCTGGAATTACTGGGAGATGCTTTCCCCCAAGCTGAATTCCCTCCATCTTTTTACGAAGCAAAAAAGATTATTAACAAGCTTGGCTTGAACTATAAGAAGATAGATGCATGCCCAAACGACTGTATGCTATACTGGGGAGATGATGCCAACAAAGAGATTTGTACGAGATGCAAGACGTCACGCTATAAGTCGGTACGGAAGGGCAAGAAGCAAAAGAAGAAACCAGCCAAAATTCTCAGGTACAAATTATTACAGCGTGTTACTTGTTCCGTCTCTAAATATTCGATATTTGAAATTCTTAAAACAATTGATTATGTCATCAATTTTTTTAAATTGAATCAATATTTAGCATTTAAATATTCGGTATTTTAAATTTTTAAT